TGGCCGTGTGCACGCAGGTAGCAAGTAGGGTCTTCTTCTGATATTTCTTTCAAAATGCGCCGATCAATTTTCACTTTCTTATTAACATAATTAGTATAATAATCCGATACAAAAGCCTCATAATGTTGTCGACTTTCTTCTGACATTTGCTCCTCTTCATTCAATAACATTGTCGCAGCTTTCTTGACTCTTCGACGCTAATGAGAGGGTATCGTAAACGAAAAATTATACGTGTTATCTCTATTTTGGATGGGATTTTTAGTTACCTGGAAATAGCTATAGGGGGCGCCACACATCTTTCTCAATTTATTATACATTTTTAAATCAGATATAGCACTTAATCGAACACATTTAGGACATAGGAATATTACGTCACGAGCAATGAAAAGTTGATGTTTCACTGCAAAAGAAAAAAAAACAACGAAGAAAATAAATTAAATTAAAAATTGTAAGAAGCTTCCCACTAATTACCTGGAAAATGCTTACTATACTCGTGAGGTACCACAGGTTTGTGCACAAAAGCATCCGTCTCTCCGCAGATATGGCATCGAGTTACATTCGATCCCTGATAATAACCTATGGTCTGAATAGGTGGAAAATGCTTTACACGCACTGTGAAGTTTTCACAGTCAACTTTCGTGCCTAGATGCTCTTTCAAATACCATTCGCCTTTACTTTTATCGACTTCACATACGAACTCGTCGTCTGGTGCAAGAAGCAAGCATTTATCGCTTGGACAATGTACCTCAAAACGATCGAGTAAGCTTGGGTACTGAACTGGCTGCAACTCGTCAAAATGATGATCCAATAATTGCGAAAAATTGGCTCGAAATAAGTGTATGCTTAAATCACCGTTAGGATGCCAACAGGGATCACTAAAAACAAAGTAAATAAAATAACTTTAAAAAAAACTTTAATTTTATCGCTTGACATTACCTCGGGTCCAGCTCAAAGGCTAAACTCTTAAAAATCTCCACGGCCGCATAAGCTCGATTAGCAGCATCTTCGATTTGTTCGGGATATAATTGTTTGGCCTCCCAATTCGGAGCAAGCGACCACGAAGAGTTATCAAATTGCGCATGTAGAACGGAAGAGGTCATTTGTTCCAGGTTCTCTGGATTGCGTCTAGTCATACGTGCTAGATAACGCAAATCAAATGCACCAGCTACTTTTATATCGTAGTCTGCCGCCAGTTTTTTTGCCTTTAGTATAGCATCAACACCAACTTTCATTATGTCTTCATCTTCCAACAATGCCCTTAAACTTTCCGGTATCCAAAGCATGCGATTCAAGCGAAACAAAACGCAAAAACGTTTAATGGAACATAATTGCACTAAAGCCACAGGCCTACGTTCGCCTTTTACAGTAACCCATTCACATTCAAAGCCCAGAACTTTGTATTTTTTGCAATGACTAGAAATTGAAGCATGTAGTAGTGATATTAACAAATTGATTGATCCACTTAAATCTGTTTCTTCACCTTTTGAATTTTGCCACCATATCGTCGCATTTAGATTGCGTTAAATAATTGAAGATTTTTTTAATGATTTTGAAAAGAACAATAGCAAAGAAAGCGGCAACCACAAGTGTAATTAAACCGACGACTATATTAACAACCAAATCCTCTGACGTTTTCGCCATTGTAAATTACAGTTGAAAGAAATATTTAATTGGCTTAAAAATTTTTTGATTTCGTTGGCAAAAATTTTATGATAGAAGATAAGTTGAGTGCAACCAAGTGCAGCAAATTTGCAATTTTGACTTCTATGTAAGTAACAAACTGGAATAAAACGACGTCAAATCATGCACGTGCAAAGACATGAATTTTTATTAAAGAAATAACTTAGATTAAAGGAATAGTGCCGCTAAGTATATTTCGTTAGAAAGTGACTAACGCTTCTTAAGTTAAACACTTGAAGTCATTTCAAAAGCAAATAAAAAGTACAACGTGATTCTTCCTTGGTTCGACAAGTATTCGAATCAGAATGAAAGGGATAAATTAAGATTAAGATTAAGTTTTTTTTAATAAAGGCCTCTGTTAACTTAACAAATGCTTAGAATACATGCTTAGCGATGTTTGCAAAAAGGAAAAACAGCAGAAGAGAAAACCTACTCCTGCTTCAAATCTTCTAGAATCACAATCAATGGGTGTTGGAAAAGACAAGCAGGCAGGCAAACAAGCCGGCATAAGATGATTTCGATAAGATGGGCTCTTAATCGACCATGTCGATGCATTGCAAGGATTTCATAAATCCAATGTATCCTCTGCGGTGAACATCACAAAATTTGTGCTTGTGTGTGATGTTCAATTGAGAAAAAACTCTCCCACATTATGCATATTTTTGGATCCTTATAACATGTAAATAAACTTTATGGAATAAAATAGCCAGATTACATTTACGAAAAACCATCAAATCGACGGGAAAATTTTGTGATTCGTTACAGTCATTACAGTAAAGAGAGAAAGATGAAATTTGGCAAAAACTATCTTTGATCAATTAAGAATAAGGTTAAAACGTGGGCGTGATATGTTTAAAAACATGCCCACAATACAGAAAAAAGTAAATCAACTTCAGAAAATTACGGGCAATTGTTTCATATATTCTTCTATAACTTTCGGAAACATGAACGCAGATGTTCATTAAGATAACTTTCACGTTCAGTACACAAAAAGGTTTAACGATAAAATGTGTCTCAATGCGCCTCAAAATAAATGAGAAACAAATTAAAAGTCGGAATTGATATTTTATCGTTAATTGTGGACATATTAATGAACCGATCGAGACAATTTTTTCACTGAACATGCAGGTGTTTCTGGTGAATATTTGGATAGAAATTTTCTCAGGATCGAAAGTTATAGGCAGAAATATGAGAAGGTTGTTGATATTTTTGGAGATTTTTTTAGTTTCTTCCGCATTGTGGACATGTGTAATTAATAATATTAATTAAAATAGCGAAATCGGATGTGTTCCAGAAAAAGGTAGTAGACATTACTACATATATGTAAAAGATGTTGATATCCATTTTTTAAATTTAGGATATTATATTAATCTTTATTAAAAAATAATTCAAATTCACGACTAATTAAATACAAAGTAATAATTATACAAATAAGCGAAAAGTTTTGACGACTGTACTATTTTACAACTTGGTTCCATTTAACGACATCTGTGCGACTTTAACACTTTAGTCGGCAATTTCCACTCAACGTCTGATTGCTTGTGTCTCTCTGTTTCTCTCACAGCGCTTATTTTACTCTTCGTTTATCCTGTCATCTTTCACTGCTTACTGCCACTCTAGGCGTGTACACTTTACATATATGCTTTTTATATTTTTTTATATCGTTAAAAACCAAAGATGTGGATTTTTCATGCCGCATTTTTAACATCAAAAGCCCGTCAAATCCATAGGTGCCATAAATGTAATGTTAAGTAACGAATATTTATAAATTAAAACATGCAGAATTGTTTGATTTTGTTTTTTCACAGATACTTGGCTAGCCGATGTAATTGATGGAACAAGCCTGTGCGATAATTATGTAAGCACAGTTGCCAAGAGAATCTAATCGAATTGAGTGTAAATCAAGTAAATACAGCACAAATCTCTTATTTAGAGTTGCGATGGTAGAAAAACAGCTGTACAAGAAAAACATAAACAACTGTTAGGAAATAAATTATTAATTCAAAAAGTTAAAAAGATTCACAAATAAATAAAGTGTGCCTGAAATTATATTTGTGAATTGTGAAGAAGAAAAAAAGAATATAAAAAAGTAAGTACAAGTATTTTATGCTAAATTAAGCAAAGTTAATCAATACATACATTTCCAGCATAAAATATCGCAACTTGATTTTATGCTCGGTTATTGAAGAGGAGAACAATAACAACTCCGACGCAGAAGAGAGGAGAGAGAGCTAGAAAGACTACGCGGGACGCTTCTGACCCCCTAGCATTATCTCAAAAGGAGTCAGTAAATTGTTTCTAATATTCAGACACGATGTATAAACATATGTTGTATTGTTTTATGTAGATTTATGCAGAAGTTCCGCGTTTCTAAAGTGGCTTTTTATTACGTTCACTGCGAGTGGTGATACGAGGAGCACATATACATCGCCAATGTTGCGCTTAATCGTGACTTTAAAATCGGTGACTTCAGGTTACCAATGCCTGGCCTGTAGCAACAAAAGCGTAGTTGTTAAAAAAAGCAAATAATCAATTGTTGTATGAAAGGTGTTCCAAAAGTTGGAAACAAAACTTTTGCATCTAATTGCTTCTCAGGTGATAGTGGATGACCCTTAGAGCCTTGGCTGAGCACATCTTACCGCCAAATCCCCTAAAATAAAATACAGTGGAATGCATTGCAAGGCAAATAACATTGGTATGTATAAAGGTATTACCGTATTTAGTATTTCGAAAATCTAACTATAGTTTTTGAACATTTCTCTAGGTCACTGGAGTCGCTGATGAATGGCTCGTTACGGCAAACCCTTTCATGAAAATTATTCCGATGCAAAATTCTTCTTATAATTTCGGGATTGCATATCTTCCTAAGTAATTTTTCTGCTTCTTTTGCCAGACATGGTCCACTTAAATTTGAATCATGCTTAATTTTTCGTACGATTAAACGTTCATTTGCGGGAATTTCTTTTTGTATTTTTTCCATGTTTAAAATGATAAATTACAATTACGTGGATTTCTATTGAAGTTCGGTGAACCATTGTAAAAATACTTAACCGTCGCTTTCAAATTTCAAAAGTACATTTTAATATGTTTATTACTTCATCCCACGCATATTCGTGTTTCTAAAAGAAGTGCCAAATGGCTTTTATAATGGTAAACCCCTGCACACGAAATAACGTAGGTGATCTGTCTTTTAATTTTATTTTTTGCAAATTATTTTCTATTCATTTCATTTTGGATACTTGTTATTGTTTACCATATATAGTTTGTTTCTCTTTTTCGCTGCAATCTTCATTCTTAAAACTTCCTAGGGTATTTTGATTAGGTCTTCGCATGTTATTAATGACTAAAGAAAATTTCTTTTGTCAAAAATGTAATTATCGACTTTCTTCTGTGGGGCTAAAAATATATTTTAATTAAAAGGGAGAAGAAAACCAACAAAGCTTTAAGAAAAAAAACTAAAAAGCTAAGAAAAGGTAATTAATATACAAAAATTCAAACATATTTTTTCATGCGAAATTTAAGTCATAATTAAGTACTACACTGACTTTTTTATTCCCAATTAAGAGCTTTGACGGCCCAGATGTAGTTTTGTTAGCGAGTTAGTTATGAAGAGATCTCTACCGCTGCTGGTTATATAAAAACAAAAGAAAATCTTATATAAAATTCTTAATTGTTTTATCAAGTAAATTATCTATTTATTCGCATTTTCAAAGAATGTACCCTTCTAATTTTTTTTATAGACTTCCAAACTCTGTTTGAAATTTTTGCACCATTTTTGCAACGTGATCTGAATATAACTGTGTGTTCAGTGCGTCGTCGCATTAGTGTAGCTGTCTTTACGGTGAACTTACGATTTCTGGCTTCGGAATCATGACGCGATTCTATTTTGGTGAACTCAGTTTCAATTGAGAAGTTCTCCAAAATGATAATGTGTATTTAGATAACCACCCGAAAAACCCGGATATTCTATTAGGTTTAGATGTAAAAGCATTTTTTCAAACCCAATGGTCTAGATCCAGCTATAATGGCCATGTAACGTAGGTCGAACGCACTAACCACCTAAATGCCATAATCTTCTTGCAATTTTAAAGCATTTTGCTTAGGATCTGTGAGGTGTCTGTGCAATGCCAGGAGTGCTGTCGCCGGGCATCAGGGTCCTTTCACAACACCATTTATTTTCCGGGACTAATATGCCAATTTTGTTCTTGTAATTCTTTATTATTAAATTTTCAAACTCAATCCGCAGACGCATTTTTACTTAATGTTATAACGTCACTTAAGCTTTATTTAAATATAATTATTATTCTATAAAGACACTCATGGTATGTTTATCTTTTATTGAAATCACATCCTCGGCCTGGTACCATTGCTATTCTCAAGGAAATATCATAATACTCTGCACTAATTAAAAATAGGACTTAAACCGGACGTCATATGCTGCAGGTGTTTAAACTCTCGAACATCTCTCTCCTCTCTCAAACCGCTCGACTCTCCCTCTGAACGGCAACTGTCTGCTATCCTTGCGATCAAAAGAACAAAAGGTTTGCGGGATCTCAAATGAATTTGTTGCAAGGGTTTATCGTGGGTTCCTGCCTGAAAGGCTTAACCGCACTGTGGAGGATCTCAAATGAAATCAGATGACTTCAAATCAGATGCCCGCTGCTATGATTTATGCATTTGGCATAATTGAAACAAACCACCAAAGACCCTAGATGAAGCCAATTGCAATAAGGAGGCAAGACCACGACTGTTTCCTATACTTATCCATTCGCAGTCAAAGCGCAGCCAAACAGTTGATAAACAACACATCACAATAAACGACAATAACTCAAATATTTCACATACATTCTTAAAGTTTCCATTATATTATCACAAGCTATATCCTGTTTATATTGATCCAAATAACCCTGGTGTTGAATAACAAGATATCAAAGTCCTATCCAATTCCTATGCAGCTTTAACTACAATTTTTGACATTACAGGTGAGACTTTAGAATTTTTAAAAGGAAGTTCCAGCAAAAGATTCGTGTTGTACTTCGATGCATGGTTTTCATAGCGGCTT